AACTCTAGGGGCCTCCCTGACCGAAGCCGCCCCGCAGGCCCGGCGCGTACCGGCAAAGAGCCGCCTCAGGCACGGGGAGCCAACGTCAGCCCTGAGCCTCAGGGGCGCTCCGTCGGAAGCCCCGCCTCGCGGGAAGCGTCCCCGGTATCGATTGGTCGGAAAGGTGCTCCTCTCCAGCCCCATCCAATCGCTGCCTTTGCTCTGTTGGGCTGTGGCGGCTCTCACCCAATCGGGGCGCCCGGACTGCCGCTTGAGTCATTCCCATGGTAACCCTTCCTTTCCGTACCCGGAAGCCCTGCGAGGATGCAAGACCAGATGCGCATGCGCACCTCCTAAGGCAGGAATCCTTTGGAGCCCGTTTCTCGCGGCGTGGCCTGAAGGTTTCTTCCCACCAAAAAGCGGCCCGTGCGCAAAGGGAGGCCGCCATGTTGTCATTCAGAAGCGCCTTGAAAGGGCTTCAAAGGGAAGGCCGCTAAGGCGGCTTTTGAAGCCCTTTGGAAGTCTCATGAAAACCCATGACCAGTTAAGCCTTCCCTGAAAGACTTTCAACTCCCAAGAACTCCCCAGGCGGATTTCGGGGAGCCTCAGCCCGCAGACCCACACTTCCCTCCCCCTGCCTCCCTTGGAGCCCGGCCTAGCTGCGAGGGCCCCGGGCTCTCCTGGGCCTTGCTTCCAGTCACTAATATAGGAGAAAGGAAGCTGCCCTGGGGCTTCCTGGGAGTTGTAGTCCCGCTGCCCTTTAGGCTCCTCAGAGAGCGCCTCAGAAGGAACTAGGACCCAGACTCCAGGAAGCACCAAAGAACTGCCTTTTTTGGTACAGTCTATTAAGGGCAGGAAAGAAAGGGCCTAGACAGCCATGCCACCTCAGAGGCAGGCACTGGTCTTCTAGGCGAGCAAAAGGCCAGTGGCTTCTAGGCTAGGCTGTAACTCCTATAGTTCCAGCTGGAGGATTATTGGGAGCTGGAAGTCCCAAAAAACCCAAATGGCACATCCCCACTGCCTCACCCTAGAATCCCGTGGGGAGCTGCGATCCTGAATTTGGGGGCAGACCCTGCTTTGAGTCACAAGCCAACCCTCCTCCTAACTCCCAAAAGATGCAGGGTGTATCACCTGCAGGCCCCACTCCCCAAAGGAAACATTTGTTGATGGAATCAAGGGAAGGAGATTTTTTGGAGAGAAATCTCACAATCTTAGGTCCTTTTTGCAGGTGAATAAATTCACAATATAACTAAGTCAGAAATGACTGGATGTGGCACAGCAATTTTAAAAAGGGCAGGATTTGAAGGTGAAACAGGTTCTGACAGGAGTCATTTCCAAATGGAGGTGAGGGGCAAAGAAGTGCCCCAAATAAGTCTTGTTAATTGATGCTCTTCAAGCCCCATACACAGAGGATTAAGAAGGTAATTGTGTCAAAGCAAGCAATGCGTTGCCTTCTGGAAATCCCCAAGGGCACCAGTCCTAGGCTCCAGAAGACAACTATAATCAGGAAGCCAATTTGGGAGAGCAGCTGCAGTCAGTACTTTTCTTTAAACTTTTGTTTAAAAGAATAAGAGAGTGTAGAAAAGCAAATTATTTTATTGAAACCATTTCTTCAAAAGGAGAAAACACATTTCAACCGAATGATTTACATTTGAACACCACCATCCCCTTCCTCCTTCCCACCCTTAAAAAAAAGTTAACAGAACTAACTAACAAGCACCTGAACATGGATGTAAAACAAACAGTTCCAGCTATTATAGCGAAATAAGTGCCAATGTGGCAAAGGGAAGTCGCACAAAGTTTCTGCAGAGTACATGGCAAGACAGAGCAGTTCTCCATGACCCCAATGGCTCTCAAAGTTGGGCTTGGCTGAGTTTCAGACAATATTTAAAAGGCAGCAGCTGGAAAATAAAGAGGAATCTCTTTCTCCCCAACAAATTCCCAACTTAACATTTCCCTAAAAGAAATGTAAACAAAACTTCTAAACTTGCCATGTTTAAAGGGGGAAAATAAGGACACAACAGCAGATATATCCAGGAAAAGCATTTTACAAGAACTCAAGAATTTTACATTCAGATTCAATTTTTTTATCAGGATTCACAGTAGAATGCACGTTCTGTCCAAAACAGAGGTATGCAGAAACTTTTTACCCCCTAATTAGTTCTGGAATTCCACTCATATAAAACCCAAGGACTCTTATGTGTATTTCAACAGAAACAAAGCCTCGTGTGCTCACACATCTGTCAATACACATAACACTCATATTTTGAAAAACTGGCATGGAAAAGTTAGCAAACTAGAATTTCCAATCATTGAGCAAACATAAACCTAACTGGAATGAAGGGGACTTAACAATGTGTAGCACACCATTTATAATTTTTCCTACATACCTTGCTCTGGGAACTTATAGCATTTAACATGTCCTTAAATACAGAGGACAAAAGAGATAAAGCTGCAGGGTCAGGCCAGCAAGTCTTACACTTTACTTGCCAAAATCTTTACATATTTTCCAAACAGATTTTAGAGATCAGGATGCAGTCTTTGCCCTGGGCTGATGAATTACTGGTAGCAGCATTGAAGACGAAACCAAAAAGATACCCCTTGGTGAACAGTTTAAGGATTACTTTGGTGGGATAAGGCAAAATTTAGGGAAAATGAAAGAAGGAGGGTTGGACTATGTTCTTTTTTCCACCCTGATGCCTTTGGACATGTACTTTAACATATGAGCTGGTGGATTAATTGATGCTTCTGAAAACTGAAGCATCAGCACATTTATACCTTATAGTCAAAATTATCCCACCCACTCTACTCGCTAGTTGATACAAGAAATTCAGCAGCAAGGTATGGTAATTGAAAATAAACCACACAAACACTTAAACACAGCACATTTTGTAAGCTGGCGTCCCAAACCCCCAAAGAACATAAATAGCACGAGGAAATGCCAAAGTTTAGAACAGCACCCAGTGTTCCTATGAAATCTATTGGATGGCAGAAACGGCAAGCTTAAGAAACAAATCATCTAGGTAAAGAAAATGTGTAACAATATAAACTTGAAAAGGACTGCTGTTTTTATTTCAGCTGGATAGAGCAGCCACCACTCTCATTAACACCAACATAGTCACATGAGCTCCTTCAAGGCATCTAGCACTGGGTGAGTTTTGCTGAGGTCAGTCACTGGCGAAGGAAAGCAGGTATGTGGGTGCTATTCTCACTATGCGGCCTTACTGAGGACCACAATTGCTATGCTTTATCTAAGTACTGAGATACGATTTGAGGGGATTTAGTATGTATCTGTTTATGCATTTTGGTTTTACAAGTATTATCCACTTTTTCTACATCCTTTGCTTTGGTTTTAGTGGTTTCTGTTGCAAAAGGCTCATGGACATAAAACTGGCATCAATGAGCCTAGACTAAGGAGGCCTTGTCTGTGCATCAGAATAAGACTATAATGAGGCTGAAGCGGAAGGTTTGAATTAGTTGCTCCCATTTGCAGGGAGAAAAGTTGCAGGAATGTACACTGCTCTTCACAAAATATAGCCCAAGCCATGTGGGTTCCTGAACAGTTTCAGGTAGATGTTCACTAAAAATCAGAAGTGGCTATTCAGGGAGAGTGCCGTGAAAAACACAGCAGAGTTTCCAGTGAGTTCAAAAGTCATATTAAAACAAAGAAGGCAAAGAGACAGGACAACACACCAAAATCAGCATGAAGGATATCCAACAGAAAAAAAGGGGGCGGAGGGGCGGGGAGATAGAGCAACTCGATTGCAGTTTGTTGTCAGTTTGTGCCGTGTTCCACTAACCAAGTCCATTTTAAAAACAATGGAGTTAATTGTAAATAAATAGATGTGGATGCACAGGGACTTAGGGAAGTGTTATAATTCATCATTGGTTTTGCTATCTTCCCTTCTTTCAAATCTCTTGGATTGCTGGCCTGTAAGAAAAAGATAAAACTCAATGAATTTATTTACTTGTCATTTCTCTTCTACCCCACCATTTTCCCAATGGAGGGACCCTTTTCTAGCACAGGCACACTTTGAAAAGAACAACACATCAATGCAAAGCCCTCCTTAGAGAAGTTCACCATCTTTCAAGCCAAACTTGGCTCATTGAGAAAGCTGTTAATTAAGGCTATTTTGATATACTTACTACTTGAAATGTAACAGCACCAACAAAAACAACAGATTCCCTAAAATTGTTGGAATGGGCTTGGCATCCAAACACCCTAAGTCTGAGGTAACTTATTTTTTAGGGTTTTTAAAATCACTCTCCATTTATAAGCAATCCAAACAAGCTCTACCTAATGGATGAAATCCTGTCTATACTGTTAGGCTGATGGTGTGGAGACAATTCAATGTCATTGTGTGCAGTATGGTTTTTATTTTTGTTGTTGTTTGATTGTTGTTGTTTTTTTTTGAGAAATTAAAAATTTCAGATGCTCCCCATTTTTTGAGAAGGCATTGGGGTCTAGGGGAGTCTTTCATTTCTTAAAATCACTGCTGCTGCTAAAAGCAGTGACAAAAAACTGCAACAGGATTTTAGCCACTGACTTGCAATCACGTTGCAAATTTTTCTTATTGTTCACACAATGATGTTTCATTTTTATTTCTCAGTAATTTCTGGGTAGGGGTAACTAGGGCGTAACCTATTAAGATTATTATTTGCATCTCTCTTTTCAAAATATATTATTATTTCACAGTTTCTAAAATCCTGGATTTAGATTTAGAACCTTCATGGATCTAGAAGAGAAAACTCTGATATTCAAATAGAGGTTCAGTGGTTTAAGGCACTGGTTCTTAACCTTGGGTTACTCAGGAGTTTTGGACTGCAACTCCCAGAAGCCTTCACCACAAGCTGTGCTGACTGGGGTTTCTGGGAGTTGCAGTTAAAAAGCATCTGAGTAACAAAGGTTAAGAACCACTGGTTTAACGCACTTGGCTGCAGAGCCAGAGGTTGGGAGTTCCATTCCCCCACTGGCCCTCCTTGACAGGGGCGGGACCTGACGGTCCAGAGGGTCCTTTTCTGCTGTGCAGTTCCAAGATTATTATAATATTTTTATAAAGCAGGGAAACGAACGTGGTGACCACTTGCTCACCTATGGAACCCGAGTTTTCTTACCCTAAGATCTCGACCCCTACCTGTGCCTGGTTCATCCTCCAGTGGTGCATGTTCTTCTGTTGGTGGTTCTTCGACTGGACTAGGTTTTTCAACTTTATCTGCTCCTGCTAGAAAAAAGTGGAATACAGAATTACAGAGGGGAAAAAATCTTCTTGCACTAGAGATTTATTGCAAGCTCTGGAAGATCTTTCTGGGGTAGGTACAGTGGCCAAAGTGCCTCCTCTCTTCAACACAAATAGAAGCATGGCTTTCACATCCTAAACCACTCAGAAACCAATGGGAACACTCATGCAAGAAGCCAAGACTGAGGACCCTCCGTGAGCCAAGCGGGCTTTGGCAGGGCTACTCTGGTTTCCCTTACAAGATGAAAAGGAGAAAAGCCCCTTTATGGCCTGGACTTAAACCTGCCACAAAATACTTGCGCACCTTAAACCTGCCACAAAAGACTTGCGCACCTTCTTGGTTGTCCTCCTTGGGAGGAATGACCTTTTCACTCTCGGAAGACGTGGTGGTGTTCTTGCCTGCTTCTGTCTTTGTGGCGTTTTCCTTCTTCTTGGGTTTGGGCTTGGCAAACTTTGCTTTGTTGAGGAGGTATTGTACTTCCCTGTCCAGGGCTGCAATCTTCATTTCAATATCTTTGGCAAGCAGGACAGGCTTGACGGTGGGGGAGAGCTTGTTCTGTTCTGCCAGAGTCTCATTCTTCCACAACTAAAAAATCCCAAACAAACTATGAGCTATGCTTTATCCTTGGTCGTGAACGAATAAGACCAGCCTTGCTTGGTATGGCTCAATGTGAAATGCCGACAATTTGATTAGGAGACAAATTCCACTGTATTTTGGCTCATGACTGTTTAGAAGCCCTACGTGGCTTCTCTGGAACCATGTGGCCATGATCTTTCCAGGTTTGTAAAATTAGGCATACAGAGGGAAAACAGAAGATTTCCTATGTATTTCACACTAGAACCTGGGGTCATGCGACAACACTAACTTTTATCAGAGACTGAAGACAGGCAAAATGGAAGGATTTTCCATGCCAGCACACAGTTATCCTGTGGGACTCGCTTCCTTGCATTGTGGGAAGAGCCGCTAGCTCAGGTAGTGAGAAGGAAAGAGAAATAAGGATACAAACGTTGAGAAAGGAGGCTGGCCACAGTTACAAGTCATGGTGCCCAATGCAGCGTCTAGGTTTATAAACACTCTGACCCAGAATATCCCAGTTGTAGCTGGGCAAAGGGTCATCCTGGGAAACTGCCGCAGGAAAGGGTTAGACTGCCCTTGGATCCTGCCCATGGGTCCTGTCCCTGGGCTTCCCGAGAAGCTCCTACTTGGTCAGACTAGAAAGCCTTAAGTTTGGTACAACAGGTGCTCTTCCTATGTTCACCTGTGGCCCAAAGCGTGCCGACCTAGGTGAAAGACCACATTGGACATCTTTGGCAGCCTAGGAGGGAAGTGACACCCCCCCCCCACAAACACTATAGGCATAGACCCCTTTCTTACCACTGTTTCGTTTATAGCTTTTTCCAAAGTGCTTATCTCCACCTCTGTGAATATCTGATCAGCCTCTGGGATCATCCGAGCTCCTCTGCAAAGGGACAGAAAAGGCATGATGGGCTTCCATGCACCAAAGACCTGTTGCTTAAGACACCACTTCAATTTAACTGTTCTAGGAACAGGGACAACTGTGATTCTGGAAATCACTGAGACATCTAAAGTAGAATTCAGCATTTAGCACCTTTGATGAGCTCTGGACGAATCCCAGCTACGTAAAAGAAGATCATGTTTCAAACCTTTTAAGTGCTGTTAAAGAAAATAAAAAATACACAGAAAGCTAGAAATAAACACACTGCACCAAAACGTCAATTTTATACAGGGTGCAAGTGATAAAAAGCCAAGGGGATATTTATGCCTCCTGCCGCGTATTATTCCTCTGTCAAGGAGACAGATGCAGCCATGCCCTCAACTGTAGGCACACATCTTGGTCCAAGGACCTGCTCTGAGCCGCTCAAGCCTCACGTTGTTTTAAGCAAGCAGGGCGGTGTCCTCACCTCCCTTCCCAAACCTCTTGTCCCACTGCAGGAGCCTTGGTCCTTCACCTACTTGAGAAAGATAGTGGAATGATTGAGCAAGCTTTCCAGGGCAGCCAGACGGTCCGGCCATTTCCTTCGCTCCTCCACTCGGAAGAAAAGACTCCGGCACAGCTTCTTAAGTTCAGAGAGCTTCTCCTTCAGCTCCTGAGGAGTTGAATGGAAGGAAAGTTACAGCCATGGCACTCCTGGGGGGGGGGGGGGAGAAGGATAACTGTTGAGCCAAAGCCTCAAGAGGTAGGAAGCTGGGTGTGCGCAGGCAGGCGAGGCAAAACAGCTTCAGACGTTCTGTCACCGGCTACAACATTATGAGCGCACCAGACACACCAGGAGAGTGCCCTTGCCCACCCGGAGAGTGAAAAGACACGTGACTATCACAGGCTGGTTGGGCAGGTGTAAGTCTACTGAGGCTGGCCCACTCTAATCAGACATGTATCAACTGTGGCAGCCCCACATGCCACCCTCGGCTACAAGGGGCTGGGGTGGAATACTGTGTCCCCCTGCAGGACAAGGTCAACGGGGAGGATTAGCCACGTTGCAACGGCTCTGATTCAAAACCTTTCCATCAGTTTCCCATGATTTGAGAGGATTGTCAGCCTTATGGAGACTTCTAGAGCCCTTGGACAAGGCAATGTCCGTTGGAAGTCCTGCCCACTCTTCAGTCTAACAGTACAAAGAAACACCTTTTTGCTGAAGCTCAGAAGGGTTCGGACTGGTGCTCTTAAGGTCCCAACCTTGGTTGTGGCTGTATAGCCCTCCTCTTCTATCCAGGCAGAAACTTCACTCAGCTTCTTGGAAATGTCCGCTCTCTCTTCCTCTGTAGAAACAAACTGGTACTCCTCCTGATAGAGCTTGTCCTAGGGGGAGAAAACAAAGGCTCTTTCACCAGAGTGGGAGCTCCGGTGCCTCCTGGGGTTCCAGAGGTGTTCATAAGCAAAGCTGCCGTAGCTTCACTTGGTCAGAGGAGGAATCCGGCCAAAGCAAGCCAAGCTCTCCCTGCTCTGAATTCTCTTGCAGCTCAAATGCAGCAAGGTTGCAGCATCTCGTGGGAAACACGTGCACCAATGACTGCACTTTCCTGGGCCTGGGGAGGAGGAGGTAGCAGATGGAATCACCTGAAGCTTCTCATTCATCCCTCTGGCCCATTCTCTCACCTGGGTCTCAAAGACAAAGGCCTCGAGGCTGTTGGCTGACTTCTCCCTCTCTTGCTTCTCTAGATCTCTTTCAGTCAATTCTTGCAACCTGATGTTGGGAAACAGCAGGAAGGAGAATGCACCAAGGTCAGCGCATGCATAGGACCCCCGGTTCATTACAAGCCAGTTTGTTGAGAGGGCAGGGGGGCTCCGGGGGTCCCCTCAGACCTACTTCTTGACAGAGTCCTGTAGCTCCTCTGGGAGCAGGTCTGGCACGTCATTTACATCCAGCTCCACCGCAATCTCCTCCACCACCTTCTGCTTCTTGGGAGGCTTCGGCTTCAGCTCCTCTTCCGCTTCGGCCGCTGCTTTGCCGCCATCACCTTCTGATCCCTTAACAGGCTGCTCCCCCTCCTTTCCAGTCGTTGGCGTCTCCTGGGCTTCCTGGAGGGGCAATTCCAGAAGAATTGGAAGGGTGGCTTTTGCTGGGGGCCAGAGGAGCAAGGAGTCTGGGGGCAGCAACAGGAGGGGCAGGACAGGACTGGCCCCAAGAGAGCCAAGGGGCAAGCAAGCAAGCAAGGGGCCCATCGCTAGGGCAAAGGCCCTGTGGAAGAAGAGCCCCCACGCAGCCAGAGGCCAAATTTTGCACCCACTACCCTAGACCAAAAAAGGTATGTGTGTGCGTACGTTGGTGGCTGCTCACCTGAGAGCTGGGCTTCTCTGCCCCTTGATCTTGCTGGTCCCCTGTTTCAAAATCCTCTCCAGCATCTTTTTCTGGTGATGGAGATGGGGAGGGTGGTTGCTTCTCCTCCTCCTCCTCGCTGGCAGCCTCAGCCTCGTCCTTCTGGTCCTCTTTACCTGACTCCGCTTGGGCCTCTTCTTCCTCCTGGTCCCCCCAACCAAGAAGGGTGCTAAGGAAGCCGCTGCTGGGGCTGATGGGTCCTCTGGCCCCAGCAAGCGGCTCAACCAAAAGTCTAGGGGCATCGAACAGGAATGAACGCAGAGCATTCTCATGTCTATGTCGGGCGTGCCCGCCCTGCCCATCCTTTGGGGGCCCAATACTCATGTGTCAATTCCTCTGCAGGGGACGCCCAACTCTGCACCCAACCCGGAATGATGCTCACCTGAACAGCCTCGGTCAAGTTTTCAGGGACTTCTGGCACAGGGCTGCCTCCTCCGAAGAGGCTGGAGATTGTGTTCCCAAGTTCTGCACCAAAGAAGACATGGAGGAAAGTCTTCAAAGCCTTCAAGCCCCCCCCCCCGTATCCCCAGCCTGGGCCTTGCTCTTTCCTGCTTGGGGGGAGGGAAACAAATAGTGCAGGGAGAGGGCACCCCCATACACACACACCCTGCACGTCTAGGGACTCTCACAGGCATGGGGCATGGAGCAGTCCAGCTAAAGGTCCCTCTGACATTTCTGAGAAGCAATGCTCATGAGCACAGGAAGAACAGCAAAGGACAGAGGAGTTGGGCACCACCGTCCCAAGGAGGCAGTTTCTGCAGCTACAGCCGGCTTCGTAGGTGGGAGGAGACAAGGGCGGTAAACACCCCCACCCCCACAACATACTTCCACGAAGATCCTGTCCTCCAGGATTCTGCCGGTTACTCTGCTGTCTCGGGTTGCTTCCACAGGGCCGTAAGACAAGCCTCTGACTGCTCGGCTTCCCTCTCCCAAGCCAGCCAAGGAGACTTGCCAATATAACCCCTTCTCACTCTCGCCCAGACGGACAAAAGAAGGGAGAACCTCCAGCTGGACTTTGGGCTGTGTGGGTGTCATCCAGCATATTGGGATATGAAGACTTCCTTCTGCCAGACTTTGTGACACCCCTTTGAGACAATTACAGTGGTGCCTCGCTTAACGTTTGCTTCGTTTAACGTTTTTTTCGCTTAACGTTTATTTTTTCAGAGGCAGATTGTGCTTCGTATAACGTTTTTCCCTATGGGCGATTTTCGCATAGCGTTTTTGGGACCATGCTTCGCTTAACCTTTTTTGTTTTAGGTCCCCTGCTTCGCTTAACGTTTTTTTTGTTTTCAATTTAAAAAGTGTCTTAGAAGGGTCCAAAACGGTTCTAAATGCTTGGATTCGTTAGAGGACCCCTTAAGTCATGTGCAAACCTGATTTGGCTTTGATCTGAACTTTCGTTAATTTTTTGTAAATTGTTTTCTCCCCCATAGGAAAGCATGGAGCTGTCAGATTTTGACAGGTCCATTGGTTCCTATGGGCCAAAAAACAAAAATTCACAAAAAATTAACGAAACGTCAGAGCAAAGCCAAATCAGGTTTGCACATGACTTAAGGGGTCCTCTAACGAATCCAAGCATTTAGAACCGTTTTGGACCCTTCTAAGACACTTTTTAAATTGAAAACAAAAAAAACGTTAAGCGAAGCAGGGGACCTAAAACCAAAAACGTTAAGCGAAGCATGGTCCCAAAAACGCTATGCGAAAATCGCCCATAGGGAAAAACGTTATACGAAGCACAATCTGCCTCTGAAAAAATAAACGTCAAGCGTATTGAGTCAGCTACAATACATTCCAATGGAGGATACATTGTATCGTTTAACGATGTTTCCTATGGGTTTTTTCGCTTAAGGGCGGCAATCCGTGCCTATTGGAACGGATTAACCGGTTTCCAATGCATCTCTATGGGAAATGGTGTTTCGCATAAAGTTTTTTTCGCATAAGGTTTTTTTTTTTGGAACCAATTAAAAACGTTATGCGAGGCACCACTGTATTTGAATTACACACCTGGCTTGATTTCTTCCCTGAAATTATCCCATTTCTGGAGTTTGGCGTTCCCTTTAAAGGAGACACTCAGAAATGAGAAGACAAGAGAGCCCTTCAAAAGCTGATACTGCATGGGTGGGTGTGTGTGGGGGGGGAGGGCATGGGGAAAAGGCTGCTGGCATGGAATGGATAACACAGGGGAGTATCCACACTCACTTGTCAGTGTGGATTCCTCTTCCGGTTTGTCCTCCACGAGAGTCTCAAATACAGATTCTACCTGGAAAGTGACACACACAGCCGGGTGAGATGAGATGGCAAGGCCTAGGAATTGAATCAATCAGGGAGGCTGCAGGAGGGGGCATTACTCACACGATCCAGGCTCAGCACGCCGCTCTCGTCCATGTTGAAATGAGCCTTGATCCCTTTGGATTCATAGTCCAAATGCTTCTTAAAGCTCTCTCCCACCCCACGCAGCATCACCCTTGTGAGGTTCAGGGACCCAAAAACTCTGCAAGGACGAAAAGACCAAGGGGGTGAGCAAAGGGGCTGCCCTTCTCCCTGCTCTCCCCTCCCCCACAAAGGAGGTGGCATCACTGCTTCAGAGCAGGCCTTTTCTCCCATGGCTGCACGTGAGCTCAGGTCTCAGGGGAGAGGGTGTGGTGGGGTTCCCAAAACAGTGGCCTGAGGAGGTGGGCCCCCCTCTAGGCCCAAAGGACATTCACACTTCAGGGAGGAGTGAGTTTCTCTGGCTCCGACTTCCTTTTGTGGCCTCCGAAGAAATCCATCTTCATTTCTCATCTGCCTCCTCCCAAAATTATGAGAGTCACACCTTGAAATGTGTGGTTTGTCATTTTGGGAGGAAAAGTTATTTGCTTTTGTAAGTTTGAGTCATTTAAAAAAAAACACACCCAGAAATAATATTCAGGCCATTTCATGTTTCACCTGGAAGGACTGGTGAGGCCCAGAAGTAGTCCCTGGGACTGGAAAGGTGGCTTTTGAACACCTGCCATTGCCCACCCTCCTTTCGGCACCCACCCCATCCCATGCATTCCTTCCTTCCTAGACAGAGAGACGAAAGGAAGCAGGTGTCATGTCCACTCCTGGGCCACGGAGCCACTCACCTGAGGTCAGTCTCGCTCAGAAAGCTCATGTCTGCATAGTTGACGTGGAACTCGAAGTCGTCGGTGTAGCGGTTGAAGGTGATGACCTTGCGCTGAGGATAGGGGGCCATGCGCTGGAACAGAATCCGCCGATTGTGCTTCAGGCTCTTGGATTTATCCTCCTCTTCCACTTCGCGAGTGAACTCCACCTGGGAGCGGGGAGGAGAGAGCAGAGTCCTCCGTCAGACCCGGGGGGGGGGGCAGGGGATCTGGCAGGTCGGCAGTTTCAGGGCATAAAATACCAAACCCCCTAAGCAGAAGAGATCTCAGCAAGCCGAGAAGAGAGGGCGAGCATTCCCAGAGGAAAAAAGAATCAGGAAGAGAAACAGGAAAGTGCGCCGATATCGGCTCCACCGAGGGAACCTCTGCCGAGACTCCGTCCGCTGGTTGAGAGGTAGATCACACCAGGCATGGTGGGCCTGGAATCTCCCTTTGGCCTCCCAGGTACATCCCTCCCCTCCTCCCATTCCCTTCACCCTCAAGGCTGAACCCACCTGGATGGGGAAAACCGCAGCATCACGGACAATGAAAGGCTTCACCTTGAAGGCCTTGCTCAGGGCAGCCGCCTGGTACACGGCGCCCATTGCTGCCGCTTCGTCTGCATTGATGTTCTTGCCCAACTCCTCCCTGGCACAGGGAACAAAGAAGGGTTCAGTGCCTTCCTTATCCAGCCAAGAAAAAGAAAAGGAGAGGAACGGGCACAGAGAGACTGGCCTGGCACTTACTTGCCGACTGCCTTCAGCAGAAACTCTTGCACCTTCGGCACTCGAGTGGCGCCACCAACCAAGATCACATGGTCTATTTCATTCTGGGAAGTTGAGAAAGGAACAAGGTTGACTCTTGGGAGCTCAGGCTGAGCCCCGCAACCTGCACCTAGAGTCCCAGGCCTGAGAGGCAAGAGGCACCCAGACGTAAACCCACCTCTAGGTAGGTCTTCCGGTATTGACACACCCTTGTGGGAGCACCACAAGAGTCTGCACCAAAAGCCCCAGTGCACCTACCAGACCGATCTCAGCACTGCTCAGCGCTTGCTGCACAGGCCCTGCAACACGCTGGAACAAGTCAGAGCACAGATCCTCAAACTCCTGACGGGTCACCTTGGCCTTGAAGTCAATATCATCTAAGAGGCCCTCAATCTAGGAAGGGAGAGAAAAAAGCAAAGACCTCCTTGTTCAGACCGTGGTTTCCCTTGCGCCACTTCACGACAAATTGTCCCTGCCCCCCCCCCCCACTGCACTACAAGAGGAGAGAGAACCAAAGTGCTCCATTTCCTGCCCAGAATCTCTTCAGCCAACCTCAGCTCTTTGGAGCCCTGGGGAAGAAGATCTGTGGAAACCAGCCACCCAAGGAAGGGACCTGATGCTCTTCAAACCCTCTATGAGACTTGCAGGGCCAAGCCACCCAGTATCTGCACCACCTACCTGGGCCATGTGGTCTGCATTAGCGCTCAGCACTGTCTTCACACGACTGGCTTCCTTCAGAAGCTTGGCCATAGCCCGGAGGTTTTTCCGGACATCCTTTGAGGGATGTTGTGCATTAAAGAGTTTGGCCAAATGATCCCGCAGGCGCAGCTCCATTTCCAGTCCTCCCAGCATGCGATCAAATCTGAGCAAAAAGTCAGCAATGGAATCAGAGGCTCAAGCAAGGCCTCGCTGCCCCCCACCCTGTGCCTCTCCTCACATCACAGCTGGAGTCTGGATGTTTTATCCCGCCTCTTGCTGGCCCTTTTCTTCTCCCCACATCCTTTCCTTGTGGTGTGTGAATCAAGCCACCTAAACTGCAGCCACAGAAGCTTGGCTTTGGGTATCCCTGCTCTCTTCTCTTCCAAGGCGGCTACTTGGGAGACCTGGTTTCAGGTGGCGAGGGCCTTACCCAACACCCTGGATCTGCAACTGAGGCTGGGTTCCCGAGTCCTTCGTCTTCACAGTCTGGTAGGTTACAATGGTGCACGTGGTGCTGCCTGCACCCATGTCGTAAAACATGATATTCTGGGGAAAAGAGGCAAGAACCACGTCTGAAAACAGGGAACAGGAAAAGATGTGCCAGAAGGTGACTCCTTGTATAATGTGTGCGGAGTCCAGAGATCAGCTCTCTTTCCTCTTCAAATTTAAAAAATATCTATTTTAGCACATGACGCTACCTTATGCCAGAACAGAAGGCTGACCCTTCAAGGCCAGGATTGTCTGACCTGCAGCAGCTGTGCCAGACTATAAACACAGAAGGATCCTTCCACTCACCTATCACTCAGTGCTCTCTGTGGGAGATGCCAAAGAGTGAACCTGGGCCTTTCTATGTACAAATAGCAACACCTGCTGCCTCTGAGCCAACAGCTTGATTCCAGATGCTTGTGTGCAAAAAGCTACCCTGTTAGTCTCCAGATCATTCCTGTTCTTTTACGAATAAATTAAAGCTGTCAATCCAGGTGCATGCCTCTCATTTCAAGGGCAGAGCGATCCAGACTAATTTCACTTGTTTTTTTCACTACTACAAAAGTACAATGCATCTTTGTGCCGGACAAAAGAAGTTTCAAAAGCCCCTTGCAAACTACCGCTCCCTCTAGTTAACAAGCACCTGGGCAGTTGAATTGATGTCCTTCCTCCGGAACACTCCATAATTCAAAGCCACAGCAGTGTTATCATTAATGAGTTGCAAAACCTTAAGGTCTGCCATTTTTGCTGCATGCAGGACAGCTCTCCTCTCTGCCTGGTTGAAGTAGGCAGGGACAGTGATGACAACACCTTTGATGGGCTGCTCTGAAAGACAGGGAGAAGACAGTAAGTCAGCTCCTGGTACACTTCAATTTTTCTTCCTTTAGCTGATGTAACAGAAGGAGGTTCTCGATTTTCACCCTCTCCCTCCCTGATCCTGCATGTAAACATAATCCTTGTCCTTCAGCAGATGCAAAATAATTTCCAACCTGCAAAGTCCTCAGCCAGTGTGCGAGAATAGTTCAGGACCATGCCTAGGACTTCCTCTGGGGAATACCGCATGTTCCTGGAAAGAAGAACATGGAGGACAAAATCTTAAAAGCCTGACCCCAGCTGTGAAATGTGTGCTTTGGAGAGACAGTAAGTCAGCTCCTGGTACACTTCAGGTTTTCTTCCTTTAGCTGATGTAACAGGAGGTTCTCGATTTCTAGACAGTAAGTCAGCTCCTGGTACACTTCAATTTTTCTTCCTTTAGCTGATGTAACAGAAGGAGGTTCTCGATTTTCACCCTCTCCCTCCCTGATCCTGCATGTAAACATAATCCTTGTCCTTCAGCAGATGCAAAATAATTTCCAACCTGCAAAGTCCTCAGCCAGTGTGCGAGAATAGTTCAGGACCATGCCTAGGACTTCCTCTGGGGAATACCGCATGTTCCTGGAAAGAAGAACATGGAGGACAAAATCTTAAAAGCCTGACCCCAGCTGTGAAAGGTGTCCTTTGGAGTCCCCTCTACAAAGCTCACAGGCAGGCAGCACTGCAGAAGACCAAAAGCAAACAGCTCTGGAAGCCGTGAATCATCCCACTTGGAAGTCCCTGAGCCCTGGCAATACCGCAACCGCTGCACGTAGAAGCACCCTTGGTATCAACTGGCCAGGGCAAGTGTTCCATCTAAGCGTTATGCGCTAGGCTCTCTTTCTAAGCCACCTCCTGTGCCCGTGCTCTAGGGGGCATGGAGGAAAATACCACCGCAGCCTATGGGCAATTGTGCCATAGGACAAAACCCCACATGGGCCACTCACTCGGACAGCCTGAAGGTGACGGTCTCCCTCCTTGCGTCTTTCACCAGCTCATGCTCTGGAAACCGTGACTGGTAGAGAGCCACTTGGGGGTTATCAATGTGCTTTCCGAGAAGGTCCTGGAAGTATCGGAATGCCACCTTTGGGTTCTTGATGGCCTATGAAGAACACACACATTTAAACATTGCGCTGGTTCCTGAGCAGAGTGGGCCATTTCCCCATAGACAGATATATTATCATCAACTGAAAAGAACAAACAGACGAGTGATCACAACGCCCTGTTTCCAAAACACTAATTCTTATTTTGCATGACAACAGACATCCATTTAATGTTTATTTATTTTCCAAACATTTGTACTCCTTTTTATTTAGAAATCCAAAAAGTTCACATTAAAAATCAAATAAGGTAACACCACCAGCTAAAAGTCATATACTGTAACTGAAACAGTAACATCAGCTAAAAACAATTCTACTAAACCTCGGCAAAGCTTGTATAAAAACTCTAGTGCTTACCATTCCCACGGCACTGTCCCCAAAGAGGCGCTCATTCTCCTTTAGGACCACGGCTACCGGAGTTTTCCTCCGAGATTCCCTGAGACAGAAAGAGAGACTGCGCTCAGAGTCTTTGAGAGAACTGTGTTTCTACTGGGCTGGGCCCCCCAGTCACATAAAGCCCCCTTTAAGTCTCTACTGTGACTGGCAACAAGGGCTCCACACAGACAACTTTCCTATCATCTGAGACCCCATGATCTTAAACCCCAGATGTTGGCGGTTCAGTCCGGACCCTTCAATGCCATGTTTCAGAAACTGTGAGACTAAACTGAGGCAGGCGACTTTTTCCCCACAAAGGTCTCCAGACTCGTAGCTGGGGGGAACCTCTTGCCAGTGCTAGGAGAGAATTCAAAGTGGGCCCCCAGGATGAACAGGCCTTTCTCTGTGTTTATCTCTCCCCTCCTACTACCACCACCACTACCACATCCCTTCTCCATCTCCTTTCATCTTTTGCACCCAAAGCAGAGGAGGAACGATCCCAAGAGTGCAGATTTGAAACCCTAAGTACAACTGCAGCCCCTAAAAAGCTGGGCAAAGCTCCAGGCCACCGGGATTTTGGCAGAAGGTTGCATGTGACCCTTTAGGCTCTGGTCACAAAGTAAACAAAGGAGAAAAAAAATCTCGGCTTCTTCACTGAAAATACACATTTAGGATTTGGGAATAAGTCAGCACAGCATCTTGGTCCTCTTCTGTTTTTACGAGGGAGTGACTCCCATAACCTGCCAGCCTGGCTCTACTCTAAGGCTCCGCCCTGAAGGAAGACTTGAGACAGTAACATTTTCTGCAACACTGAATAACATGCTTCCTTTGCATCTCAAACATTATTCTTGTGCTCCATCCATACTAAGAATGCTGCCCTTTCTGTACCCGTTCCTAGAAAACCAAGATATGCCACGCTTAAAAAACCAGTTCCTGCCAACCCACTCACTTGTTCAAGACAATCTCCATCGGCACCCCAGGCTTGACGATGGCAATCTTCATGGACTCGCTGCCCATATCCACTGACATCACAGCAAAGGCCTCTGCAGGAGAGAAAGACGGGATCAAAGGCGCTCAGTGCCAGAGAGAAGAACATTGTCGTGCTTCAAGCTGTAGGCAAGGCTTTCCGGCCCTTCTTTCCATCGCACAAAAAGAGAGAGAGTTTCCAGGTTGCAATTCAAGGCAGACACCCAGGACGCAGGGTCAGGCAGCACAAGGAAAACCTCCACACTGCCTCCTGTTTGCTTTCCACAGCAGGTGCACAGTTTAACCCTAACTCTCTCCTGTGCTCTTTGTAATTGTTCCTATTGTGAGACTGTAAGAGCCCTACAAAATAGTTAATGTGATTAGAAATGTATAACGAGCTTGGAAAACTGAAAATGTCTTTGACTGGTGCCCCAATGACCTTAATGTGGGCTTTTGAGAAACAGAAGCCATCCATAACCAGGGCACAACAAGCAAGGAGATGCTCCCTTTGGTCACCACTGGACAGCCGAAGCACCTGCAAGAAGACCTTCGCTGAAGGTCTCTGTGTCCAACTAAGCACGTAAGGAAGACAAAGGGTCCTTCCAATTCCCCATCTCTAAGGCCACGGGCACAGCAGCTGAGCCCAGAAAAGGACCAGGAGCCAAGGCAGTTGACAGCACACACAGAGAGAGAATACAAGGATGCCCAAGCCCAATTCACGCTCTCTGTCTGCTAAGCTGACAAAACAAGTGCTGTCACTCACCACGGAGAACCCTGGCTCTGTGGGCTCACACAGCAGACCTCAAAGTGGCCACCTGCCCCCCCCCATGCTCCCTGCAGGAGGAAGCTCGTCAGCACTCAGAGGAGAGCGCTCAGCGCAGCTGCCCTGAGAACACCGCAGCCTGGAATTGCGGCACACGCCACGGACTATGAACTCCAGGCATTTGATACAACTATTCTTTGCCGAAGCTGTTTGAAATCAGCTCCAGTGATTGTTATCAGCTGTTATTGATTTAAATCAAACAAGACTTTTAAAAGAATTTTCAGAGAGTAGCTTTATGCTTTTCTTCTCTTTTATTGTGCACTGATCTAATCGAAATCTGTCTGCTAAGTGCCCTTACAAGCTTATAAACTACATATTCCGCAACATCATGTAACCTGTCAGATTGGATTGGGAAAGATGCTTTATATGTCACCTAAAACAAATTAAAACTAAAACATTCAAAAGACAGCTATGCGTGACTCAGCCTTGAAAAAATCTCTCTTCCAAAGATTAGAAATCTAGGTTGAGAGCTCAGTGATGAAGTAAGTTACTTTCCTCATGAGATAAATTGTTATCAACCTAAAGGTATTAAGTAGAGATATTCTCAGGGTCAGGGTGAGGATGCTTCCCAGAGATAAGCCCATCAACCTGTTGCAAAGCCTGGCAGACCAGCCTTACTGTGGAGGTACCTTCCCCTGGACTATGGATTGTCCGCGGGGGCAACTCACACCCCAGGCATCCATGGAAGCTCCAAACAAAGCTTGCTGGTCTTTGAGGGGGATACCGGGGTGGCCTCCAGCGGAGGTGACAAAGATGCTCCTGGGGGAAAATTCCGATTCCTGGCTGGTCGGTTATCCCCTCTGATTTTTGGCCGCGGTGGCCGTCATTCAAACTTGCCTCTCAGCCTGAAGGGACTCCCGCCTGCCTTTCACCCCAAGAGAGGCTTGCCCTCCTTCTCGGCCAAGCTTAGGACAGACATCGTCGCCCCGGTGGGGGGGGGCTGCTGGGGGGTTTCCAGGCCACTTGGGCTCCCTCACCTCGGAAGAGAAGCCGCAAAGAAGAAGCCACGACCTGGCTGACCAGAGAAACCTCCCAGGGAGGCTCCTTCCCGGCTGAGGAGCCCATCCAGAGGAGGGTCTCCCTGGCCGGCTGGCTGGCTGGAGGGGCCAAGGGCGCGCCTGGGACCTCCGAACGGGGCCGAGGGGCCGGATCCTCCTCACCTTCTGAGGGCCTCCCGGGCCGGCTGGCTGGCTGGAGGGGCCAAGGGCGCGCCTGGGACCTCCGAACGGGGCCGAGGGGCCGGATCCTCCTCACCTTCTGGCTCTGGAGAAGGGCCCCCCCCGGCCCCACCCCCACCCCCCTCTCTGTCCGGGGCCATCGGGGCGGGGGACTCACCCGAGGAGAAGGGCAGGCAGGCCAGCAGGAGGAGGACTCCGGGCAGGAGCGGCCACCCGGCGCGGGGCTCCATCGCGGGGGCTCCTCGGGTTCCTTCGCGGACGGGCTCCCCTTTCCTCCTCCTTCTCCTCCTTCTGCTTCTGCGTCGGAGAAACCAAGAGCGCGGGCAGTCAGGGCCCGCCAGGGGGAGGAGAGGAAGGGGCGAGAGGGCTCCTGAGCGCGTGCAGAGTTCCCGGAGGGAGGGAGGGCGGTCAGGCGGCCCAGCTCCCCGCAGCCCCTCACTCGCCGGCCGCGCTCCCCGTCCAGGCCCGCCGGGAGGCTCGCCTTCCTCCTCCTCCTCCTCCTTCTTCTTCCTCCTCCTTCCTGCCGGCGTGCGCGAGCGGCGCTCCTTCCGCAGCGGAGCCCTCGGGCCGAGACGCGGCGCGCCCTGATTGGTGCACCCGGCGAAAGGCCCGCCTTCCTGCGCTCCCTATTGGGCCACGTCGCGGCGCCGGCCTCGGCTCGCGCGCCA